TTATTATTCTAATTATTTTTATAAAACAGTCAATTGTTATTTCTCGTTTTGCTTGTAAAAATACTTTGCCCATCATGAAATACTTCTCAGACCAATCCAGTTGAGAATACTATACATGTCATCATCAACAGTTAATAACCCCTATCTGTTTCTCACTAACGTCCTGTCTCTCTATTGTTCACTTGCTATCTTTCTCTATCCTCTTCTCTTCACTTACCCCATTCCACACTGTCCTATTCTCATTAAGTACCTTCACTGTGTTTATGTCCTCCGAATTTTTGCTCTCTATTATAGAGTGCGGATAGTCGGTATATATTGAGTGGATACATACGATATCTTTCTTTCATAGCCTGGCTTACTTCACTCAGCAATAGATCCTCCATATCTGACCATTTTCTATCAAATTCCAGGGTCTTGTTATTTTTTATGGCTGAGTAGTATTCCATAGAGTATATATACCACACTTTTCCAATCCATTCATCAGTTTGTGGACATTTAGGTTGGTTCCATGTCTTGGCAATTGTGAATAATGCTGCAATAAACATGGATGTGCAAGCACTTTTCTGACTGAGCGTTCTCCTGTCTTTTGGGTAAATACCCAGAAGTGGGATTGCTGGATCAAATGGTAGTTCTATTTGTAGATCTTTGAGGAACCTCCATATTGTTCTCCACAGTGGTTGAACTAGTTTACATTCCCACCAACAGTGGAGGAGGGTTCCCTTTTCACCACATCCCCGCCAACACTTATCACTTTTTATATTCTTAATCTTTGCCATTCTGACAGGGGTTAGGTGGTATCTCATTGTGGTTTTTATCTGCATTTCCCTTATGATGAACACAGCGTAAACTTTTACAAAACTCCTCTGTCATTTACTTTACCAGCAGCAACATGCAGTTCCAATTGCTTCACCTTCTCACCAACACTTGTTATTGACTTTTATTTTTCCTAATTGTTTTCCTACCAGAGAGAGAGAGAGAGAGAGAGAAAGGAAGAAAGAAAGAAAACACACGCACGCACACACGCACCTCACAGTGGGACATGGTCAGACTGCAGTCCGTTCTCCTGCACGTCCCCATCTGTCAGAATTCGGGGCAGACGTGCTCATGTGCCCAGTGTGTTCTTTACTGGGCCATGGAGTTGGCCCTAAGACTACTTTGTAACATAGACATTATTGTATTTTTATTTTCATTCAGTTCAGAAATACCTTAAATTTATCCTTTGGTCTGTTTATATACTTATGAGTTGTTTAGAAGTTTCTAAGTATTTAGTTTCTAAATAATTGCAGATTTTTCAGCTACCTTTTTGCTATTTTTTTTTTCCTAATGTAAATCCATTGTGCCAGAGAATATACTGTGTATAACTTGAATTTTTAGATTTATTAAGTCTTGTTTATGGCCTCAAACTGGGACCAGCAAGGTGTGTGTTTGTTTTTAATTTGCTGTAGGGTACTTAAACTCACTAGAGAGAGAAAGAAAAAAAAAAAAACCCTCCATAGGGGAACAGGGGTTTTGGTTTTTTGTTTTTGAGAGATCTCTTTGCTCTGGGGTGCAATATTATATGGTACATGTGCTCGCCGAAGTGACAGCGTGAGAAATCACTTCCTGTGGGGGTGGCCATGCTGCAGTCCCTTCTCCATTCTCCTCTCAGGATCATGGGCACACACGCACATGCAACTGGCATGAGTTTTAAGCCACCAGATCCGGGACTCAAGCCGCAGTCAGCTATGTGGGAGTCTAGTGATGTAAACGTTACACCATCTGCTGGTCCTTTGTTTTTATTTTTTATTTTCTTTTTAAGGAATCATTTATTTCCATTTGTTATTATTATGTTTTAATTTGACCAGAGACAAAGAAAAAGGGAAAGCAAGAAAGCAAGCTGCCAGGTCTGGGACTTGAACCCTGGTTGGCCTTGTGAGAATCCAGGCCCTTTAACCACCACATCACCTGCCGGCTCTGGTTTTGTTTTTGTTTGTTTTTTGAGAGGTTTTTGCTATATGGTGCATGCGCTTAACAGAAAGAGACAGAAAGCGAGAGATCACCCCCAGGGGGGGATGGTCACACCATAATCCCTTCTCCACCATTCTCCTCTCAGGATCTTGGGCACGAATGCACATGTGCCCAGGTCTGGGATTCCAACCGCAGTTGACTAAATGGAATTCCAATAACATAGCCATTATGCCATCTGCTGGTCCCTTTTTTCTTTTCTTTTTTTTTTAATAGACCATATTTAGGCTTTTGGGCCATATGATCTCTATCTCTTGTCTACTCAGTTCTGCCGTTGTAGCCTAAATATAGCCAGAGATGATATGTAAATGAATAAGCATGGCTGTGTTATAAAAAAAACTGTGTTTATAAAAAACAGCTGGTCCTCTGTGTGTATCCTGCAGATCCCTGACCTACAATACCAGTCATCTTGGTGAACGTTCTGTATGCACGTTAAAGGGCGTGTGTTCTGCCATCGTTCGGCACGTTCTGTGCTTACTAATCAGGCGACGTGGGTTGGTGGTGTACAACCTTCACGTGCACTGTCTGCCCCCTCAACTTGTAGTGTTGTCAAAGGGTGGTAACAAAACGAAGAAACAGCTCTTCTGTGTTCGTGGCAGTGTTTGGAACAGCTTGGTTGTGCTCTTCCATGTTTATCGCATTTGATAGTTTCACTTTCTATTAATTTTTTTATTTAACTTTTTTCATGAGCAAGAATTTCTCTGCCTGCTTGTCTCACATACACATATTCTTGACATGGTCTCATTGCGCCCTGATACCTGCCTCTCCCCACCCACCAGCCTTCCAGCCAGCCAGGATCTTGGGCATAGCTGGCATGTCAACATGGGATCTGAGCCAGGCCCTCCTCATGTTCCAGCACCAAGCAGCAGCGCCCTGCGACTGTGCCACCGTGTGGGGCCCCACCGTTCATCTGAGCAGTCTGGACCACATCGAGCCCAAGAATTTTGCAGTCGTTTCTCTCCAAGAACACGAGTTTTTTTCAGGGACCTTTTGTGCTTCCATCGCTCACACCCTACACAGGAGCTCTGGTGATACTGGCGATGTTGCTGTCATTTGTAGACTTAAATACATGCCTCGGGGCTCTGTTGTAAGGCCACTTCCTGCTCATGGGCCTTTGATTTTAGTTTTCAGTTGTAGCACAGAAACTGTCAGGATGAATTTCTGGTGATGTCTTTCAGATCTGTGTTGCTAGACAGTGGAACAGTCGTCCAGAATGTGGTGACTTCACGTTGGGCTTTCACGTCTCTTGAGCGCTGCTGGCTCTTGGTTTCCATTGCATTCGTTCATGATCCTGCGTGGATCTTTGGACTTGTTTATTTGGGCGTATTCTGTCCTTCTCTTCGTGCTCTCGTGGATCACAGTAGTGAATTTTTAGACCGCTTTGTCAGGCGGTCTGTGAGCTGACCGCCGTTTCTCCACCAGGTGTCACGTGCCCTGATGTGTGGGTGCCACACATCTTATTGTGCTGTTCGGGGGTTTGGGATACCCAGGAGATATGTGCATGGCACAGGGAAATGGAGCAGTAATGACACGCGATCTAACTTATGCCGGACTTAATCTGTCACAACTAGACAGATTAAGTGTAAACATTTTTCTTTTTTTTTTTTTTTTGAGAAGTTTTCGGTATAGGACGCGTGCGCTCGCCACACAGACAGAGAGAGACATAGAGACAGAAAGTGAGAAATCACCCCCCAGGGGGGATGGTCACGCCGCAATCCCTTCTCTTCCATTCTCCTCTTGGGATCTTGGGCACACATGCACATGCGCCCGGCGTGAGTTCTAAGCCACCGGGTCCAGGACGCGAATTGCGGTCGACTATGTGGGAGTCCAGCGACATAGCCATTATACTAACTGCTGGTTCCCTGATCATTTTTTCCTATGAGGCACGAGTCTATCTTTTCTCTTCCAAATTCATTTTTGTTTTTTTTTTGGAGAGGTTTTTGATATAGGGCACATGTGCTCTCCAGAAAGAGAGACAGAAAGCGAGAAATCACCCCCCGGGGGGGATAACCATGCCACATCCCTTCTCCTCCATTCTCCTCTCAGGATGTTGGGCATGCACGCACACGTGCCCGATGTGAGTTTAAGCCACTTGGTCCGGGACTCAAACTGTGGTCAACTACATGGGAGTCCAGCAACATAACCATTATGCCAACTGCTGGTCCCACCAAATTCATATTTTGATGGGAAAATATTAATCCACCCGGAAATCTAGGGGAGAGCTCTGAAAAATAAACCAGATCATACACCTACTACTGCTGTACATACCAGGCAAATTGCTTTGTACTGAGGACAGACAAAGCTGAAAACATTGTCCCTGGCAACCATGGACACTTGAGACTGCATTAACAGGTGATTTCTCCCCCAGCTCTTAACACTGAATAACGATTGAAATAACATTTACCCACACACAGTGTTCAGGCGTAAGAAAGGATGGTGAGAGCTTGTTCTGCAAATAGTTGTGCACTTCTAGTCCAGCAGCGCAGGTGCAGGCTGGGAACAGACCAGTGCTCCCGTGGCTCCCATCGACTGTCCTGGTGAACCCTGGGCTCTGGGAGAAGCGGGGACCTCCTGCTTGGGTAACACCTTTCAGCTATAGCTATACATGGCAGCAAATCGGCACATCCCCTAGGTTTTGTCACACATCCTTTTCAGGCTCGGAAAAGAGAATCTAGGGATGGGGAGGGCTTGCTTTCTAGATAAGAAAATAGATGTAATTCTGAATAGTTGCCAGTTTTTTTTTCTTAGGTTTGCCGGAAGGAAAGTAGTTTTTAAAGTCAAAGTCACTGCTTTGACTTTTATCCTGAAAACCCAAATTTCATTTGTAAAATTTATTCTTCAATCAAAAAAATGTTGAATAAGTTTGGTTGGAGTCCCAGACGTCTGTGTTCTCCCCAAACTTGGTGTCTTTACTAGAGTGAACTTTGACTAAGGGATGAATGTGATTTCCATCCAGTCATGCCTTTCTCTGAACTCACGCTTTGTGTGTGTTTCAGTTCTTCAGTGCCGTACTCTGCAGCTAAAACACCTCACCCCGCGTTGACGCCTGTGGCTGCCAACCAAGCCAAGCAGGTACTGTACTGATCAGTGCTGTACGTCTGCAGTGTCTGTCTTTGTGTCTAAAGGCCATCCTGTTTTCGGTCCAGACTTTAAGTGCACCGTGAGCCGGGTGAAGACCTGTGACCCTTTCCCCACAGTTTGTGCCAGTGTTAACGTGGTTATTAACCAGAGTAAGTCAGTCAGGACCTGCCTGACACTCTTCACCCGCCATTGACATTATGTACCAGGTCATCTTGGGTCGTAATTCTAATTCTGTGCCTTTGTGTGATGCTCTGGTTTGCAGTTTGATTTCTTTTAACACTGTCTCAGTCGACCCATACGACAACCAGGCGGAATAGGTAGGAAGGTGTTCTGATACTGATGAAGGTCTCACTGATGAAGGAGCCTTGACCCAAGTGCCTAGTGCGAGCTCACCTGATTAGTAAGTGGCAGGCCCCGGCTGGAGCAGGACTTCTCTTCCTGTCCATTTCTCTTGTTTCTATGTCGTTCGTATCATTGTCTCAGGAACACATTATTTTGTTTTCTCCTGCTATCCCTGTTTCTCAGTTTGACTATTTTCAGTGCTGTTTATGTCTAGCTTCAGCTTTTTCCTGCTAAACATTGTCTCTTAGAAAAATAGGCTATACTTCCGTTAAATATCCCAGAAGAAAATAATAGAGGTGGCTGAAAGGCAAATCTGGCTACCTCTGAAAAGTTTGCTAGGAAACCCTGATTCCTCTGCCTCCCTTACATCTTTCTATGAGAGTAACTTCAGGTTGTGTTTGAGATCAGAGCTTGAAACTGAACATCGGAACTTGCCAGTTGTGAGTTCTCGAACACGGCCCTCTTCTTAGCTTACCGTAACCTAAACTGGCATTTAAGCCTGTGGTGTTGGCCCACTCCTCTGGAGGTTTCAGCTTCACAGTGGAAGACACAGGGTAAGGCCTGAGTTGTGATAGGCGAGGGAAGGAGCATTGACTAGAGATGGGTAAGGCAGAACGTTTTGCTTTGAGCCTTACCGTAAATTCATTGGGAACTGGAACCCTTTTATTAATTTCCTCATTCATTAATGTATCTACCAAGCACGGCTTGGCCTTTTTCTTGCCATGCACAGTGCTAGGCACTGGGCAAACCGTCATGCTCAATAGGCATGACTCTGCTTTCTGGGAGCTTGTAAGATATTTCTATTTCAGAGACCAACAGTTGGCTTAATGGCTATATCGCTGGACTCCATGTGGCTGACTGCGGTTCAAGTCCCAAACCCAGTGGCTTAAACTCAAGCTGGGCGCGTGCGCGCGCAAGATCCCAAGAGGAGAATGGAGGAGAAGGGATTGCGGTGTGACCATCCTGCCAGGGAGTGATTTCCCATTTTCTTTCTCTTTGTCTCTGTTTTTAGAGGTTTTTGCTGTAGGGTATGTGTGCTCGCCAGACAGAGAGACATAGAGACAGAAAGCGAGAAATCACCCCCCAGAGGGGATGGCCACGCCACAATCCCTTCTCCTCCATCCTCCTCTCGGAATCTTGGGCACGCACGCACACATGCCCAGCGTGAGTTTTAAGCCATTGGGTCTGGGATACGAACCGCAGTTGACTACTTGGGAGTCCAGCAACATAGCCATTACACTAACTGCTGGTCTCTCTTTGTCTCTGTCTTTCTGGCAAGCGCATGCGCCATATAGCAAAAACCTCTCCAAAAAAAGAAAAAGGTATTTCTATTTCCATCTTCTAATTTGATCTCACACTTACATTGAAACTTTGTCTTTTTTCTTTTCTCTTTTTGGTAATTAAGGTAAGTAAAAGTGTTTACATGTGTTTAAGTTGTGTTATTCCACTTACATTTTACGCTTCTTTATTCTAAAGTTGGTTAATGGCTTAACACAAACATTGTGCTTATGTTCTATTGTAGGGGTCTCTAATAAATTCACTAAAGCCGTCGGGGCCCTCACCAGCATCCAGTCAGTTGTCCTCTGGTGACAAAGCTTCAGGTCAGTTTGCATTGGTTTCACTGAAAATACAGGTGAAAAGCATTCACAGCAGAGTACTGTTCTAGATCACAGAGGAATTTGACATAGACAGCCAAGTACACAGGTCATGTTTAAACGGTTACAGCAAGCGGCTAGCAGGTGGCAAGGAGGTTAAGGTACCTCGATCTCCACATGGCCGACTCTGTGGTTTGAGTCCTGGACCTAGTGACTCAAAAATCACTCCAGGCACATGTGCGTACATGCACAAAATCCTGAGAGGACAGTAGAGGAGAAGGAATTGCGGTGTAGCCATCTCATCTATCTATTTCCCTGCCCTCCCCCCACCCCGCCGCCTCGTGAGCACACACCCTATAGCAATACCTTAAAAAAAGAAGGGAAAAAAAACTTGCAGCAAATGGAGTTGTTCCAGGAAATCAGTGAGCACTTCAGTAGCGCTGTCTAGACTTCTGAATTTTTTAAGTTAGTTTGAAAAATTTTAGCGTGATAGGAGAAAACCTGACAGATGATCAAAGCATAGAGAGGAATGACTCTGAATATTGAATTCTCTATGTCTTCTCAAAGAATTGAAAATTCTTTTGATTCACAATGACAGTGCAAAAAGTAGTAAAATATAGAAAGTAAAACAGATTTGTGTAAGATTTCCTAGTAGATTTAATAAGTTGATATTACAGGATTTTATGGCTTCATGTACGTCCCCAGAACTCACTCAGACATAATTATTATAGTTAACTCCGTCTTTACTGTAGCATAGTGCTTTAACCAGGAGAGTCTGCGCTGCACAAGCCACCTTGAAGTGGCTAACAACCTGGTTCCTCCTCAGTGTGCCCTTTCATTGGTCCTTTTTTTTTTTAGATTTTTGTCATAGGGTACATGTGCTGGCTGGAGAGAGACAGAGAGAGAGAGAAAGTGAGAAATCAGCCCCCGGGGGATGGCCAGCGCTATCCTCTCACCTCCATTTTCTTCACAGGATTTTGGGTACCTTTTTCATTACTAGGTATTTATTTCTCTTTCACTTGCTAGATAGTCAGGGTTTAGAAATGAACTTATTTTGTTAGGAAAACTTCCCTGAAAAATACTATTAAGTTTATAAAAGTGAATTTTTTTCAAAGAAAAAAAAATATTTTTAAAGCCTCATTAATTAAGAATGAAAATACTTTCACTGGTTTTCTGATTACAGAACTCTAACACACTCACAAAAACATCTCTGGTGTAGATATATATGTGTGTGTGTGTGTGTGTGTGTGTGTGTGTAATGTAGCAAGCAAAAGCTGACCCATAAATTTCCATATTCCAGAGATAACAACCCTGAACGATTTTATAGGTGCTTCTTGATACTCTGTTTTTTTGTTTTTTGTGTTTTTTTTTTTTTTTAAAAAAAAACACAAAAAACAAACAGAAATGGGCTTTTGTTTGCTGTCTACACTGATTTTTATAAACTGCTTTTTTTAAAAAAAAAGAATTCTTTATTAAATTTTATTTCTTCTTATCATTATTAATTTTTTTTTGAGAGGTTTTCGCTATAGGGCGCGTGCGCTTGCCAGACAGACAGAAAGCGAGAAATCACCCCCCCCAGGGGGGATGGTCACGCCGCAATCCCTTCTCCTCCATTCTCCTCTCGGGATCTTGGGCACGCATGCACATGCGCCCGGCGTGAGTTTTAAGCCACCGGGTCCGGGACGCGAACCGCGGTCGACTACGTGGGAGTCCAGCGACATAGCCATTACGCTAACTGCTGGTTCCCTATCATTATTAATTTTTAAAAATTGATTGTAAGGCACATTGTGCTCACCACAGAGAGGGGAAAAGTGAAAAAGCAAACTGTCAGATCCAGGACTTGAAGAACCACTGTTGGCCATCTGGGAGTCCAGCACATTAACCACCATGCCACCTACTGGCCCCAAAACTCTTTCTTCTCCCTCAGCCCGAATACAGTAAATGTGCCATTGATCTAGGTGTAATGCAGCTCTGCCTTCTCATTCCAGTGACTGCCTAGGCCTTCGCTGTACAGTCATACCCTGTGAAGTCTGAAGCTGTGCTTCACATTGTTTCCGACGTTCTGAGGTCATAAGCAGGGCTGCCTTGACTATCCTGTGCACACTACACTGTATTCAACTGGTTGCAAACTATTTTTACTGATACCTATCCCGTATTAATTTAAAGAGAAGGTATTTTGTTCTTGTTGTTTGATTTGTTTTAGTTTGATATGGGGTTTATAAATGTGGTCTTCTGGGACCAGCAGATTGAGTAGTGGTTATGTCGCTGGACTCCCACATAGTCGACCATGGTACTAGTCCGAGACCTGGCGGCTTAAAACTCATGCTAGGCACATGTGAGTCCATGCCTAAAATCCTGAGAGGAGGATGGAGAAGGGATTGTAATGTGGCCATCCCCTGTGGGGAGTGTTTTCTTGCTTTCTGTCTCTGTCTCTCCAGCAAACGCATGTGCCCTAGAGCAAAAAAAATCTCTCAAATAAATAAATGCAGTTTTCCTACTCCCCTCTTGCCTTTTAAAACAGAGCAATAGGGACAAAATCAAAGATTACTCACCAAACTTACTAATTAGTTAAGAGTAAAATTGAACGTGGAGAGGCTAATGAATTACATGTCTAACTTTCTATACTTCTCTATATTGTAGCAATCATGTTATTATAATTTTAAAAACTATTAGGTTTTGTTAAATGCAAGAAAAACTATGTAAAAACCCAAAAATGTATAGAGCAAAAGTAGTCATGAAGTTAATACTCAGAAATATTTAGCTTATTAACTAATTTCTCTTCTGGTATTTTCCCCTCCAATGTGTGCATTAATTTCAAATAATTAAAAACTACATTATACCGTTTTAAATTCCTTTTTTTTTTTTGTTTAGCCTCAAATTGAAAGTATTTCAAGAATTACTTATTTTAATTTTACTTACTGTTCTTCACTTTGACCAAAGAGACAGAGACAGAGAAGAGAGAGGGAGAAAAGAGGGAGTGTGAGAAAGCAAGCCACCAGGTTTGGGACTTGAACCATGATTAGCCATGTGGAAATCCAGTGCCTCGACTATCATGCCACCTGCCAGCCCCAGAATAATAGACTTTTAAAACTTTGCATTTAAGCTGCACTAGAATTATTTAGACACCTTTCCTAGAAAGGAGACATCTTGGGAACCAGCAGTTAGCTTAATGGCTATGTCGCTGGACTCCCACGTAGTCGACCGCGGTTTGCGTCCCGGACCCAGTGGCTTAAAACTCACGCCAGGCGCGTGTGTGTGCATGCCCAAGATCCCGAGAGGAGAATGGAGGAGAAGGGATTGCGGCGTGACCATCCCCCCTGGGGGGTGATTTCTCGCTTTCTGTCTCTATGTCTCTGTCTGTCTGGTGAGCGCACGCGCCCTATAGCGAAAGCCTCTCAAAACAAACAAACAAACAAACAAACAAAAAACAAAAAAAAAGAAATAGGTAAAAACCAGAAAATACTTCCCTCATGAGGAAGCATGATAACTCCTCACTAACAGTAAAACACAGGAGATCATAGAAATGACAGAAGAATTCACAGTATTCAATGTAACAAAACTCAATGAGATGCTAAAACAGGCAACCAATTACAGAAGATGAGAAAATTTTTCTATTACTTGAATCAGGGATTCCATAAAGAGAGAGACACACTGAATAAGAGTCAAACAGAACTTCAAGATAAATATGCAGGAAATCAAAACCTCCCTTGAAAGTATCAGCATCCAATTAGACCACACAGAAAAGAGAATGTCTGACCTCGAAGAAAAAAAAACTCTGATTTAGTCCAAACAGCTGAAAAGAATAGTAGACTAATCATTAAAAATCAGGACAACATATGGGAAATCCTAGACATCATTAAATGGCCTAATATCTTCATAATAGTCATGAAGGCAAAGAGGCAAATTTGCAGAGACATGTGGACATCCTAACCCAGCAAATACAAAGGATATCAAAGAAATTTAAGAAGGTCATCTCCAAGGCGTATTATAGCCAAACAGCTAAAAATCAAAGACAATATTCTAAAAATGGTGAGAGGGAAATGCCATGTTCCTTACAAAGGTTATCTCATTAGATTAACATCAGACCTCTCAACTGAAACAATGAAGGCAGGGAAAGAATAGAAATATTTATGTAAAATGCTGACACACAAATAATTTCTGCCAAGAATACTATACCCAGCAATAATATCCTTCAAATAGGGAGGATAAATAAAATAACTCCTAGATAAACTAATGCTGAAAGAATTCTGCCAAACTAAGCTAGCTTTTCAGGAAATACTACACCAGGAAAATTAAAGGGAAATAAATAAAAGCAAAGGAACACAAAATAACTATTAAAAAAAAGCCCACACATATCGATGACATTGAAGTCAGGATGAAATTTACCTACTAAAAATGCATATTAAACTATTTTACACACAAGCAGTTTTAAGTACAAAATCAACAATTATTTGATAGTTGTCTCCACAGGTTTCAATTTATATATTTATTAGAGCCATTAATTATTGTGTAAAACTAGATAACAGAGGAAAAGCCCAAAATGTTATAAGTAGCTGAGTATCTCTTTAGAATGAATTTTAAAAAGGCTAAAACCAAGAATGCTGTAAAGCCTGTACATCACCAAATCAGTGATTTACCATGTCTTCACTTTTAAACATCTCTCTCTAATTTTGTTTTGCTTTTACTTTTTTGAGGATTTATTTCTTTATGCAAAGTACAGTACTATGGTCTTATAAGACCTCACAATGAGGGAGTAACTTAAATCTCACGCCGGGTGCGTGTGCATGCATGCCCAAGATCCCGAGAGGAGAATGGAGGAGAAGGGATTGCGGCGTGACCATCCCCCCTGGGGGGTGATTTCTCGCTTTCTGTCTCTATGTCTCTGTCTGTCTGGTGAGCGCACGCGCCCTATAGCGAAAACCTCTCCAAAAAAAAAAAAAGAAAGAAAGGAGACATCTTTCCTTCCTTGGGTGGGAATTGGCATGAATGGAGCCAAAGAGCAAGTGCAGCGGCCTTGCACGCAAATCAGGAGTAGGTGTACTCCCCAGGTCGGGCCTGTCACCAAGAGCACACGACATCCACAAGCTGAGTCGGCGGCCCAGAGCACTGCACAGCCCAGGCTTCAGGGCTTGCAGATGGGACAGTGTTTCTGACTGACTCTGATGTTCTTCTCATTTCTTTCTCTATTTTCAGGGCTGGGGTCAGCCAGGTTGGAGACCACTGTGACTTCCACCCCGTCTGCTGTTGGGCACTTCAACAAGCCTTTCTCGTTTTCTCCATCGGGGTAGGTGATGAACCTCAGTTTCTCACTAACTTGCCAGCAACCTTGTAGAGGTTGCCCAGGTGTTCCAGAAGTAGGCGTGTCTGCGTGCTTACTAGATATGCGAGAACGCGGAGTCCCCACCACCGCGCAGTGTATCTCACCGCAGTGCCAGTAGCTTACCATCCTCACATAAATGTATTTCCCCTTTGAGGCTCAAGTTCATCCATGTGCCATTGCACGTTTGGTTACTGTGTTTTTCAGCCTGAGGCTCATTCTCTGGGTGGAGGAGTCTCTGTTAAATTCTATAGTTCATCTAGTTTATCTCCCTAAGATATTTTCATCCTTATGCCATTTAGGGGCTAGATATAGCATTTTGATGGCTTTTACTACATTGAGAGTTCAGTAGGCTAGACTTCTTAAAGAACATAACGAAGGGTAAGAGCCCTTTGAAATTTGGAGTTTGATATAAATGTGGGGAATCTGTTTCATTTTTAAAAAAATGGTGACTGTACTTATGTAAAGTTGAGTCATATTTTTTAAATGAAAGAATCTTCTAAACCTCATTCCAAGGCAATCCTTTATCAGCCATGGAGTGAGGGCACCTTCTCTGTGTTGCTAGCACAAATGTTGAAACTGAAGCAAGGTGCCTTCACGTCTTCCCTCAGGGATGGAGGCAGGCTACAGCTGAACTCAAAATCCCTCGGAAGGGGAACCAGCAGTTAGCGTAATGGCTATGTCGCTGGACTCCCACGTAGTCGACCGCGGTTCAAGTCCCAGACCCGGTAGCTTAGAACTCACGCCGGGCGCGTGTGCGTGCGTGCCCAAGATCCCAAGAAGAGAATGGAGGAGAAGGGATTGCAGCGTGACCATCCCCTCTGGGGGGTGATTTCTCGCTTTCTGTCTCCATGTCTCTCTGTCTGTCTGGCGAGCGCATGCGCCCTATAGCGAAAAACCTCTCAAAAAAAAAAAAATCCCTCGGAAGATATTTTTCCCATTGAAGAGTTGTGCATTCAGTTCCACTAGAAAGGCCTCAAGTTTTCAGTTCATGCTTTTGTAACTGGAGACATACTAACCACCATTCTTGTTTTCTGATGTCAGTATGTTTCTTGACTGTCCTTCAACCTAACATGTTAGGAGAAAAGAGGGTATTAGCATAGAATCTGAGGGAAAAAATGATGTATTTTTTGTATTTTTTTCCTTATTGTAAATCGTTCTGTTTTATAATTCCTGTCTTAGTCTGTTCTCTGTTGCTGTCACAGAATACCTGTGATTGGGTAATTCACAAGGAAAAGGATTCTTACTGTATTTGGTGGTTTTAGAGGCTGGGAACCCCAAGAGCATGGTAGGCAGCTGGCAAGGGTCCCAACCAGAAGGCATCACCCAGCAAGAGGGTGTCAGCTCTGGTCTCCCTCTCCGTATAAAGCCATCAGAGTTCATCCTGGGAGCCCCACCCTAACTCCCTGATCTAACCCTAAGTACGTCCCAAAAGGCGCATGTGGGGGGCGGGGGAGAGCTTGGTGTTTTTGGCAGGGTCTCACCACTTGGTGGTTGCAGTCTGCCCCCACCTCCCAACGAGCCAGGACCACAGCAAACCTAGGCCTCCCACGTGGCCTCAGCCATCAAACAGTGGCCCCCTCCCTCTTGTGCCATCATGGTTAGGCCATCCCCATCTGTTAAACCGTAGTCAAGGTAAGTCGCCATCCTTTACTCTCTCTAGTAGAGAGTAGATTTCAACATGAGTTTTGATGACGACATTTAAACTGTAGTATCTCCCAAGGTAATTTGGAGCAAAATTTAAAGAGTATGTCAATGCCATGAATCATTGTGTCCTTTACAAATGCTAATTAATATTTACTTCTGTGAAATGATACTTTGCTTATTTGGGCCTTCGAATCAGTGGCTTATCTCAAGTATAGATAAAATTTCTTCACCGTGAGACCAGCAGATGGCGTAGTGGTTATGTCACTGGACTCCCACATAGCCAACCGTAGTTTGAGTCCCGGACCCAGGGGCCTCAAACTCACACTGGACCCATGTGTGTGCATGCCCAAAATCTCAGGAGGAGAACAGAGACGGGATTGCAGCATGGCCATTCCTCCCGGGTGGTGATTTCTCGCTTTCTGTCTCTCTGTCTTTGTCTCTCCAGCGAGCACACATGCCCTAGAGCAAAAATCTCTCTTAAAAACAAAAAATTTCTTCACCAAGGTTGAGAGCTACCAACAAGAAAAAGGGTTTCCCCTTTTTTCTTTTTTAATACAGTAATATGTTTAGTGTATCTTCTAGATGATTTTTTTCGATGTAAGGAAGGCAACAATGGGTAAAAAATGTAAATCTTTACATTATTTACTGTATTGTTATGTGGTGTCCCTTGTATTTTACATTTTTTATTTAGTTTTAAAATGTGCTATTTGGGCTTTTGTCACAGTGAGTAACCCGTTCTGGTCCCCCTTTTGCTGAATTTTTTTCTCCGACTGTGGCTCCTTTCCTTAGAGCATAAAGAAAATGTATAGGGTGGGGGTGGCAGGCAGAGTTAGAGAGTTTTTGAACCAGATTTTCCCAGCTCAGAACTCAGTTTCTGTCCAGGTGGCAAAGGTGGTTTGTTTCCTTCTGCCCGTCGTATGGCCCTCGTAGTGTGGGCTCTCTTGACAAGCCCCTGGATCTAGGGGTAGGGTATTCAAGGTGCTCCCCGGTCTCGCTGCTTCTGTCTCATCCAATGTTCTTTTCCCTCCACTCAGCCAGCTGTCTTGCTGAGCCTCCATGCCCATGTGCCCACGTGCACTCTCCTGGTTAGTTTCTGCATTCCCGCCTTGTTCCTCTGGAAGGAGTGCCCACTCAGACCTCTGCTGTGGAGAGCTCTGTCGCCCCTCCTGACCACCGTCTCCTTCCTGGCACACTCCCTGATTCCCGCCCCTGCTTAGAGATCAGAAGCAGTTTTACTCCCTCTGAAATGCTTTCACTGTTATGCTTACCATCGCGATTGGGAATTTCTCAAGGGCAGAATGAATGAATGAATTAGAAATGAAATATTAAGAGGGCCATTCTGTACCTTAGGTTCATTCCTTTTTAACTTTTCTTTTTCTCCCTCTCTAGGACTGGCTTTAATTTTGGGGTAATCACACCAACACCATCTTCTAACTTCACCACTGCACAAGGTATGGTCTCCGCATTGCACACGTTGCCTTTATATTTCTCTGAACAAAGGCAGGGGATTTCTTTTCTTTTCTTTTTTTTGGAGAGATTTTCACTATAGGGCGCGTGCACTCGCCAGACAGACAAAGAGACAGAAAGCGAGAAATCACCCCCCAGGGGGCATGGTCACGCCGCAATCCCTTCTCCTACATTCTCCTCTCGGGATCTTGGGCACGCACGCACACACACACACGCCCGGCGTGAGTTTTAAGCCACTGGGTCCGGGACGCAAACCGCGGTCAACTACATGGGAGTCCAGCGACATAGCCATTACGCTAACTGCTGGTTCCCAACAAATGTAGGTGATTTCTGTGTGATTGTGTTGACTTTATCTTGCTCCTGAGTCTTCTGTAGTAAGCATGATGTTGATAATGTGCATTGAAAATATACTGAATTCAAGAAACTGACGTGAAGTATTTCACTCCTCTTATGTCATTCACAATTTCATCAATTTCAGGGTGTTCCTGCCGGGTGAGGTAGACGTAGCACTGCAGAGAGAAAAGACTGGACTTGTGTTCTTGCCTCAGCAGCATATCAGCTAGCACACTGGTCCCGTTCATGTCAGTACAAATCCATCAACTAGCATTTTTTTAGTGTTCAAGAGAATTTAAAGACCTATGAAAAACCATATCTATTTGTTAAGTCCTCAACTTAAGTAATTAAATTTATTTTTCTTATATTTTAAAGAGAAAGCTTTTAGGCCATATTGCTTCTATAAAATAACTTACTTAGTAGAGCACAAATAAGTAGCCCTTAACTATAGAAATGATTGTCTGTGAATGACATTTTATTCCCCCATCAAAATAAAAGAAGAATTACCATTTTGAATCAAATCCTCATCTTTCAGGAGGCTCATAGGCTCTCCCTGTGTGCAGTGTCATCAAGGGATGCACAGAGACCGGAAAACAAGGGTAGAAGCCTTTTACCTCTTTTCTAGGCTAGCATATTAGTTTCATGTATCCTGGAGATCATGTATCTGTTGTGATTTCGTGGTCATAAGAATATTCCTTGCTCTCCCCTGCAGTGTGTTGACTCAGAGTCCACTTTACTGTGGAGTGGTATTCATTCTGTCCTCCCTCAGGAAAACTGCTCTAGAACAAGCTATCCCAGAGTCTGTACAGGGAACAGAGAGACTGGCTTAGAAATACAGCCAGCAGACATGGGGCAGGTCACATTTTGCTAAACCCAAACCCCTTTCCAAATTTCTCTTTCTCGCTAGGGGCAGCACTACCTACTAAAGAGTCCAGCCAACTCGACACGTTCTCATTTGGCGGGGGAGGCAAACCTTTCTATGAGCCCGTTCCCGAAAGCTCTCCTCCCTCAGGAATCGCATCGGCAGCCAACACCGCATGCACCACCGTCGCTCCTCCAGGAGAGCCTGCTCCGTCTGGCAGCAGACCTGTGGCACCTTCTGGCAACGCTCTTTCCACCACCTCGAGCAAGCTGGAGGCTCCACCGTCCAAGTTGGGAGAGTTCCTCTTTCCAAGTTCTTTAGCTGGAGAGACGCTAGGAAGTTTTTCAGGACTGCGGGTTGGCCAGGCGGACGACTCCACAAAGCCAGCCAGTAAGGCTTCGCCCACAAGCCTCAGCAGTGCCCAACCAATCAAGACTTCGAGCATGCCCTCAGGCTTTAGTTTTCCTGGCCCTCAGGTGCCAGGAAAGCATTCGGAGCCCCCCGTGACCTCCTCCGTGGTTGCCACCACGGTAGCACTACCAGCAGCCACCAGCACAAGCACTGGCAGCTCCTCGGCTAGTGTTTTTGGCACTCTGCCACTCACCAGCACGGGCTCCTCTGGGGTGATGAGTTTTGGTGGGGCATCTCTAAGCACTAGCAAGACTAGCTTTTCATTTGCAAGCCAGCAGACCAGTCCAGCGCCCCCATCTGCCCCACCATCATCTACAACTGCCTCTCCCCTTCCAGCATCGTTCCCCACATTGTCATTTGGTGGCCTCCTGAGTTCACCTCCTGCTTCCTCCCTGCCTGTGTCCTCTGGCAAAAGCACAGAGGAAGCCACATCATCTGCGTCACCTGAGAAGCCAGGCAGCAGTGAGGTCCCATCACCAGCGTCATTGTTTTTAGGGCAGCCGCAGGCGGCCCAGCTTCCCCAGGCGACTCTGCAGACTCCTGACTCTGTTAAGAAAGAACCTGTTCTTGCCCAGCCTGCAGGCAGCAGCCCTGGCACTGCAGCATCTAGTCCCAGTCTTCTAGCACCTTCCACTGAGGCCACTCAGGCAGACATCAAGACAGAGGCAGTGTCTTCTTCCACCTTTTCCGTGCCTGGGCAGCCTGCCGTTACAGCAGCTCCAATCACAAGTGCAGGCCCTGTGGCCATCGAAGCATCAAGTGCCCCCACAACCTCCAGCGCAGCTTCCAGTGTTGCTCCAGGCCCAGCCGCAGAGACGGCCATGTTTGGGACTATCACTTCTGGCTCATCAGTCTTTACTCAGCCACCTGCTGCCAGTTCTAGCTCAGCTTTCAGTCAGCTCACCAACACAGCCACTGCCCCCTCCACTGCCCCTGTGTTTGGGCAGGTGGCAGCCAGCACTGCTCCAAGCCTGTTTGGGCAGCAGACAGGCAGTGTAGCTAGCACGGCATCTGCCACGCCGCAGGCCAGCAGTTCAGGGTTTGGCAGTCCGGCTTTTGGCACCTCTACCCCAGGGGTCTTTGGACAGACTGCCTTTGGTCAAGCTCCAGCCTTTGGGCAGTCAACAAGCAGCCCCACAAGTGGCTTCTCCTTCAGTCAGCCTGGGTTCAGTTCTGTGCCTGCTTTTGGTCAGTCTGTCTCATCCACCCCCACATCCACCAGTGGGAATGTGTTTGGTGCCTCCTCGAGTACCAGTAGCTCCGGTTCCTTCTCGTTTGGACAGTCTTCTGCCAGCACTGGAGGCCTGTTCGGCCAGAGCAACCCTCCTGCTTTTGGTCAGAGTCCTGGCTTTGGGCAGGGAGGCTCTGTGTTTGGAGGGACCTCAGCCGCTACCACAACAGCAGCATCCTCTGGTTTTAGCTTCTGTCAAGCTTCAGGTAAGAATATGTGAAAGATTTTTACTTTGTTCCCTGCTGTAACTTGAAACATTCACAACAAACTTGTGTTTGGAATTAGAAGAAAGGGACAGTACAGAATCGTGCGAGCTCAAGCAGGAGCTCAGAGCACACGCAGCCTCAGTAAGTTCCGTGGCTCCAGGACTGCTGGTCGGCACTCTCCACCCTGATAGCCACCAATAGGCCCGTTCTGTGGGGGAAAGCAAGCTCCTTTGGTTTAAAACCATGGCAAGTAATTTAAAGACATAAATAAGTACTCCTATTTAAATAAATAGAGTTCACATTTGGAAGGAGCTGGTGGAGGCCATTCTGCCCAAAACTGCCAAGCCTCAAGGAAGTGCACTAACGTCAGATGGCATTGGTGGGCCCGAGCAGAACCCCGTTTCCTCCTCGTCGTTCCCAGCCTGCCGTCGTCATGCTTGCTAGGAAAGTGACTGCCGACATTTGAGGAGCTGGGTGTTCCTCTATTTTCAGTGTTCTCATCATTGTCTGTCTGTCTGTCTGTCTTTCTTTAATTGCCAGAGGACATGTATGCTTACCAGAGAGAGGGATGGGGAGAAAGCACCTCTGGTTGGGCCTGGTCGTGTTACAGCCCTTTCTCCTCCATTTCTTCACCCTGTTGGGGTTCGGGCACGCACACACACGTGCCAGACTTGTTTTTCAAGCCATGTGACTGGGACTTGAGCCATGGTCAAGTGGAGTCTGTCTCCTTGAGCCACCAACCTATGGGGCTAAACCATTGTTCCTGTTATTTTTTTTAATTCTCCATTTTACTGTTTTTGAAAGTGAAACTTAATCTTTTACTATTGCATGTCCAGTTTTAGCATCTACATTTACTTCTGAAAGTTGTCAATACAACCATTTGAAAAAATCTTTTCTAGGTTTTGCTTCTGATGGTTTCTCTTATAAAAAACCTGCTCTTCAACAATTAGGCTCTCGGGGAAAACAAAGGTCAATTTTTGGTGGACATTATTACTAGTAACTCATTTCTTAAATGACTGTTTGAACATGGCTCAATTTATTAGAAAGGAATGTTTTCCTTCCTTCAATAAATGTTTGTTAAGCTCCTACTAGGTTCCTGTATAAGGACACAGTGGTGAAAAGATAGACATGATTTTGAGATCCACCTGATAACCTGTGAAGAGGCCAGCTGTCCTTGAATGAAGAGAAAAGTGATGACTTGGTTTAGAGATTGCTCAGGGAGAAAACTCGTGAATTTCAAAAGACACAAATACTTAACACTGGCTTCTCTCTAGTGCATTTGCTCTATTTTGCTGTCAAAACTTGAGTAAACTTCACATGCAGGTGTTACTTAACTGTTTCAAGTTCCAATCACTGAAGGAATCTTCCTTAGTAACTGTATGGAAAGGTCCTCCTGCCCTGGTTGAGGAATCGAGACTTGCCTGCGCTCACCTACCTGACCAGTGTCTGATGGGAGCAGAACTACCTTACGCTCCTTGTCCAGAGCCCTTTTGTCGTAAAACATCGGTCTGCCTGATCGTCCTAGGCCCTCCTCAGCCCGGGACCTCCACCATGTTAAACCACCTGGAGGAAAGATAAGCGGCCCTGAAAGAACCTGGTATTTAAAACTCAAAGGCAACCAGGGGGTAGAAACACTCTTAAGACCCAGTCCTGGGCATGGGAAAGAATTCTTAGTGGCTCGAAGTCTGATGAGAAGCTACTCTGAGAATATCCCATCTGATTAGTCCCCACTCACTGGAAATTTGGTAGGAGAGACTTTGGAATTTACACTGTTAGAAAATGTGAGTTTTCTCCATTTCCTTGGTGGGAAAACAGATTTTATTCATAAGTTGACTTAGTGTGGGTTATCTTAGCACATCAGAATGCCATTTAAAAAGTTTTAAAAAATAACAGAATGCTGATGTTGTGAAAGACTCATCCATACTGAACTTTTGTTTTCTTTGTGTCTTTCAGGTTTTGGGTCCAGTAATACTGGTTCTGTGTTTGGTCAGGCAGCCAGTACTGGTGGAGCAGTCTTCGGCCAGGTAAATATGTCTCCTTGTTTCCATTCGTGTCAGCATGTACCACACTCACCCAATTTTCCCTAGTATAATGCAGTCAGTTCATGTCGCATGTCCAAGCCCGCAAACAGCCAGAGGTGAGGACAGAGAAGTCTAGACCTCTGCTTAGAGGGAGTCTCCAGAATTTTGATCCTCCTTTGGCAGTCCTCTGGGAAAGTACTTTAAAAGCACTTTCCTGATTTCATCAATCTTCTGTCTGACCTATTAGGTCAAGGGTTGGCAGACCACATTCCACAGGCTAAATCTACTCCTCACCCCAATTTCTTTAAAAAGTTCTTGAGTGACGGAACCAGCAGTTAGCGTAATGGCTATATCACTGGACTCCCACGTAGTCGACCGCAGTTCACGTCCCGGACCCGGTGGCTTAGAACTCACACCAGGCGCGTGTGCATGCGTGCCCAAGATTCCCGAGAGGAGAATGGAGGAGAAGGGATTGCGGTGTGGCCATCCCACTTGGGGGTGATTTCTCGCTTTCTAGCTCTCTGTCTCTCTCTGTCTGTCTGGCGAGCGCATGCACCCTATAGCAAAAGCCTCTCCCAAAGGAAAAAAAAAAGTTCTTGAGCGACAAATTGGTTTTACATTTTTATTCATTCACTGATATTTTCACTCATCATTTATTTATTCATCTTTAGTTTGCTATAGGGTACATGCACTTGCCAGAGAGCCACTGAGAGAGACAGAGAGAGTGAGAGCAAGAAATAACTTCGCAAGGGTCTGGCCACACCATCATCCCTTCTCCACTTTCCTCTCAGGATTTTGGGCATGTATGCATGCATGCCTGGTGTGTTTTCAAGCCAGCTGCTCAGTAGCCCTGAAGGATCCGGTGCCACAGACCCTGGGTTTTACATTTTTTTAATGATTGTTTACATGAAAGAGGGGACCAGCCATGGCTTGGTGGTTAGGGTGGCTGGATTGTGTGTGGTCCAAGTTCCAGGTTCAGGGGTTCAAAAACCATGCTGGACACGTCTGTGCATGTGCCCAAAGTCCCAAAAGGAGGAGGTGGTGGTGAGGGTGGAGGAGAGTGTGAGCAGTCTGTGAGTGGCACTGTGCTAAGTCAGATGCAGTCCTGGGACTCCTTTCAGTGAACTGAGGCTCGTCAGTTTAGACAGCGGGCATTTATGTACGTGCCAGGCATCATTGAGGTGCTTTATGCAGATTAACTCTTGTAATTATTACAGCACGTCTAGAAGTCAGGTGCTTTTGTGTCGCCATTGGAGAAGGACACTGAAGGCCCAAAGGTTAAACTTATTGCTATAAAATGTGGCTGCTGCTTCAGATCGTGATACCTTCATAGGCAGTCCTTCTGAAGAAAGGTGATCAGCTGTATCAGAGGCGATGTGACCGCTGGAGGTGGAACTGGGGGTAGTCCATGGGTAACAGAGTGGAAGGCATGTTGTTCCTTTCACACTGTCAGCATTTATCATCTCCCTTTTCCTCTGAAAATGGGTTCTTCCCTAGTCAAGATCTTTCAGAAAGGAGAGAAGTGAACCTTCTGATTTCCAGTGTCTGCTAGTGGAGGATAGGTCATTCAAACTAAGTTGCCTACTGAAAACAGCTAAAAGTGGTAGGTAAAATATAAAGCCCAGATGTTTGATAGCACTGGAGATCTGACAAGGTGATTCACCAAGCCAAGTTCAAAGGGAAGGGAGCTTAGGGACGTTCAGTGGAGCACAGAAGCCAGTTTTGCCGTGAGGACATCGACTAATTGAGATATGTCAAACTTTCAGTTTCATAGCCCCACGGGCAAAGCACAAATTGAGGAGTCTGAAAGAGACCCTCCTTACGATAAGGAGAGACCCCAGATTCTCAGGGCTGGGCATAGGTGGGTGGGGCCTCCATGTGTCTGAGTGAAGCAGCATGGACCCACTCTGAAAGAAAGAAATTGAACTCTAGACCTCAGCTTACTCTTACGGATAACTCGGGAGAACATTGATTACCACGCCTAAATTAGCCACACAAGGATGTGAGGAACTACAGAGCAAAAGTCAGAACGAGCATCAGAAATACACTTACAGAGATTACTAGACTATAAAGCAGTCATGTTTCATGTCTTTAAAATAAATAAAAGAAAAACTTAAAATGTCAGTAAGGAATAGGAAATTATAAGTGTCATAACAGCTTTGAAGAAGACCAAATAGAACTTCTAGGGAAAAATTAAGTAATTAAAATTTAAGGTGCAATGGATGTATTTAACAGCAGATTAATCCCACCTGAAAAGAGCAGTGACGTGACTGTGACAAGCAGTGGCGTGCCAGGACGGGTGAGGAGGAAGTCTTCAGGCGTTGAGGGCTGTGTACAGTTCCTGTCACAACTGCTCACCTCTGCCGTTGTGTCAGGGAAGCAGCATGCACAGCACATAAATGAGAGGCGTGGCTCCGTCCTGGAAATAGAGCTTATGTGCAGCAGTAGCTAGCGGGCCGGCTTGGGCTTTGAGCTGTCGTTTGCTGACTCTTGAGCTAGCAGGTAGATGAGATTAAAGTATCTGGGATGCATCAGAGAGAGCAGAGATGGAAAATACAACAGAGCAGAACCTAACTTACATTTCATCAGAGCCCCAGAGGAGAAGAGGGGGTAGTGGTAACATTAGAAGAAAGACAGACATTTCTCAAACTAATGGATAGCAGTAACCCACAGATTCAGAAGGCCAATGTATGCCACACAGAATGTGTGAGGAGAAATTGATTCTAAGGCCTGTTACAGTGAAACTGCAAATCAAAATAAAATATTGAAAACCGCCAGAGAAAAAAGATGGACTGCCTTGTAAGGATCAGTTGGTGAACTGACGGCTGACTCTTTGGCAGTGGTGATGAAAGCCCGAAGACAGAGGCTGCCAGTGCGGAATTTTAAACCCAGCAAAATTATCTCTTACAAAAGGAGCGAGGGCTGTCTCCATAGTACAGCAGTTCAGATTGCACATGCCAGACTGGTTTGAGGCCTGCCTTGGCAGCTTGAAAAACACACCAGGCATGTTTGTATGAATGCCCCAAATCCTAACACAGTGGACAGAGGTAGGGAAAAGATTGCAGCATAGCCACACCCCACTAAGGAGTTCTTTCTCTCTCACATACCTTCTTATGTTTAAAAAAAAAAAATTTAAAAAAACGGGACCAGCAGTTAGCATAATGGCTGTCGCTGGACTCCCATGTAGCTGACCGTGGTTCGAGTTACTGAACCCAGTGGCTTAAACTCATGCCAGGCGTGTGTGTGTGTGTGTGTGTGTGTGTGCGTGCGCCCAAGACCCCGAGGGGAGAATGGAGGAGAAGGGATTACGGCGTGGCCATCCCCCCGGGGGGTGATTTTTCGCTTTCTATCTCTCTGTCTCTCTCTGTCTTTCTGGTGAGTGCACGCACCCTATAGCAAAAACTTCTCAAAAAAAAAGAAAAAAAGAGTGAAGGGACATCAGTACATATTTTTTTCAGGTGGACAGATACTGAGAGAAATCGTTTTTAGCAGAGGTGGAAGAAATCAAAGGGGCATTCTTTAGGCAGAGGAAATTGAACTCTCACTAAAATTATAACCTTCAGTTAGTAAAGCAAGCTGTGAAGTAGGAAAATTGGAGCCAATTTAGCCAACAGAGTAATTCTATTCAGAATATATTTTAAAATGCCTACAAATCAAAAAGAAAACGAGGTTTTACTTACATCAAAATGACTAAAACCCGAAGGACTGACAATGCCAACTTCGGTGATGAAGTAGAGCCACTGGAAACTTGCTGGTGGGAGCATAAATTCATGTAACCCCTGGAAAACCATCTGTTAGTGTCAACACTAAACATACAGAATCCCTGTTGACTAAGCAAACCTACAGTGAATAGGTAGCCAACAGAAATAAGTGCCTTTGTTCACTGAAAGGTATGAATGAGAAAGTTGGTACCAGTATATTCATAATAGCTAAAAACAGGAAATAACCCTGATGTTTATAAGTTGAAAAATAGATAAATAAATTGTGTAATAGTTATATAGAATTGTACAAAGCAGTGAAATAAAATGTCCTGCCTCTGCACAAACCAAAATGGATGAATCTTATATACTGAAGGGGAGGAGCTAACACCAGAATACTCACTGTAGGGCTGCATGTCCCTGAAAGGTCAAGGACAGAACACGGTGATAGCAACTATTATAGCAGTTACCTTTAGAGCGCAAGAACAGGGTATAGGAGATGGGGTACAACCTGTATTATGGCAGCTGTATTGCACATGGCCAACCACATGGTTCAAGTCCCAGACCTGGTTGCTTGAAAAACACACTGGATGCTTGTGCACACATGCCCAAAATCATGCAAGGAGGGAGAGATGGAGGAGAAGGAATTGAAGTGTGACATTCCTTATGGGGATCCTCCCCGCCTCCCCACCCCTGTCTGAGGACTGCAGGTACCCTCTGGCAGAGAAAAGGGGAGGGGACATAAGGGAACCTTCTGAAGCACTGGTAGTGTTTTCTCTCTTGAACAGTGAGCATTATGACAGTTGTAGTCACACATCAAATGCTTCGAGCTTTCCACACGTTTAAATCCGTGAACTTCAAAGACACAATAGAAGGAAAACAAGCCAAAGACTGTTCATAAAAAAGGATATGGCCCAGCTGGGGCAGCATGCACTGGATGCTGCTGCTTGGCAAGCTGAGGGTTCGTGAGAGGCCCAGGGTCAATTCCCAGACCATCCTAAAAAGTGCCAGGTATGAGACCAGCAGTTAGAGTAATGGCTGTGTTGCTCAACTCCCATGTAGTCAACCATGGTTCGAGTCCTGGACCCGGTGGCTTAAATTCAGGCTGGGCGCGTGTGCATGCGCACCCAAGAGCCTGAGAGGAGAATGGAGTAGAAGGGATTGCGGCGTGGCCATCTCCCCAGGGGGTGATTTCTCACTTTCTGTCTCTCTGTCTCTGTCTTTCTGGCGAGTGCACGTGCCCTACAGCAAAAAAAAAAACTCAAAGAAAAAAAAGTGCCAGGTGCAGTGGCACACCATGGCCCCAGATAAATGATCCAGGTGTCCACTAGTGGCCCATGTATCCATTTGGACGCACAATGAGGTGTCTACTTTCAAATTCAGTATAGTTCAGCTGTTAGAAGGGCTGAGATTCTGGCTCACGCTACACTTGGATGTACCTTGAAAACAGTATTTGAAGCAAAGAAAACCAAGCACAAAAGGATAAATATTGAGTGATTTCATGTATAACATATAGCTAGAATAGATTAATTTAGAGACAGAAAGTAGATTAGAAGTTAGTAGATTAGACTAGACCGCAGTTCTAGTCCCAGACCTGGTGGCTTAAAACTCACGCTGGGCACATGTGTGTGCGTGCCCAAGATCCCGAGAGGAGAATGGAGGAGAAGGGTTTGCGGCGTGGCCATCCCCCCTGGAGGGTGATTTCTTGCTTTCTGTCTCTCTGTCTGGTGAGCGCATGTGCCTTATAGCAAAAACCTCTCCAAAAAAAAAACAATGAAGTCACATTCACTTCAGTGAAGTATGTTAGTTACCTACTTCTGTTCGTTTTTGTGGATAGCCATTGTGGTTTTTTTTTTTATGAATTATTTTATTTATCTTTATTTATTATTATTATTATTATTATTTTCAAGTTTGATCAAAGAGAGAGGGAAGATGAGAAAGCAAACTACCAGGTTCAGGACTTGAACTACAATTGGCCGTGTGGGAGTCCAGTGTCTTTAACCGCCACACCACCTGCCAGTCCCACCATAGTTTATCAGATCATTTTTTTATCATCGTTTTTCAGAGATTAGTTAGCCTTTATTTACTTATTTAAAGACAGGATCTTGCCATGCCTTTATTTATGTATGTATGTATGAATGGATGGATGACAGGATCTTGCCAGGTTCCTAATTTTCCTGCCTCAGCTTCACAAATCTCTGTGACCAGAGGTGCCGCCATGACACCTGGCCTTTAGGTTAGACCAGGAATTGCACCCAGGCCTCCCATGCTGTCCCATGCTGTCCCAGCCTACAGAGCACAGGTCTCAGCAATGTGTGCCACCACAATTGGGACTCACTTTTTTTTATTAATTTGCCTGAGGGCACTAGACTTACCAAAGAGAGACAGAGGAGACATCAGAGCGTGTAAGCACCTTTCAGTGGGGTCTAGTCATGCCATAGTTTCTTCATTTCTCTGTCCTATCAGGATTTGGGGTATACATGCACACCCACCTGGTATGTTTTTCAAACTGCTGGGTGTGGGATTCAAACTGCGTGGTCATCCAGATGAAAGTGGCTATGCTTGTAGAGCTTGTCTTTTGATGGAGGGATCCAATCTCATTAGCCACTAGGCCATGGCCAGGCCCTCAAATCAATTTTTTGTTTGTGTTTTATACTGTGTATGTACTCACCAGAGAGATAAGAGACAGAAGCATGTCTCTGTCACCCTAGGTGGGAGTGGGAGGATGGCCACACCACAACCCTTTCTCCTCTGCTCTCATCTCGAGATCTTGGACGCACAGGCACTGACGCATGCACACGTGCTTGGCATGAGTTTCAAGTCACCAGGTCCAGGATTTGAACCACAGCCAGCCATGTGAGAGTCCAGCACCTTAACTACCACGCCACCTGCTGGCCCCTCAAATCACACTATTAAAATTAGGCAGACCCATGAGAAATTGCTGGGTTTTGCAGGGCAAGATGTCCAGGTCTGGGCAGCTTCCTGTGTCTTGGTCTGGTACAGGGAGGTCAGCTAAGCAGCCTGATGTCCCCTGTGTGCGTGCCCTTAGTGGCCAGGTCTTTCTCTCCAAGGCAGTGTACTGGTTACCAGAGCCTGTGCTTTTATGAGCATGTTGGGTTCACAATTTTAGTGGTAGTGAAATGTTACTGTAGTTTCTAAAGACATTTAAGGAAAAAGAGCAAGAGGAAGACCAGCAAGCACATTAAGTGCTTCAGTACATCACCCTGAGGCAGAACTTAACGTGTGTTGTTGAAGGCGCAAAAGGCAGGCGACTGTGCTGAGTGAGGAGGAGTGCGACAGCAGTGACATCGGAGAGGTCAGCAGCGGCCTGATGACAGGGGCTTTGGTAAATAGAGGACAGGAGCCAAATGCCCTGCCTCCCTTTCAGGAGTTACTCCAGTGCCACGGGAACTGGCTGTGTTGGGCAGAGTCGCACCACCAGTTACATCGCTGCATAGTCCAGCCCAAGGGTGGAGCAGGTGACGCAGAGCAGCGTGGAGAGGAGGGCACTTGCTGGGGCTCTCTGTTGGAGATGGCCTGATGGATGTATGACACTGTGGAGATGAGAGGATTGCTCAGGAGAGTGCCCAGCATGGACAAAGTGCTTGGTCATTGATCTGTCTTCCTTGTTAAAATCCTGACCGACAACCCTTTTTCGATCACCTAATTGTGTTTCAGGCACTGCTGTAAAACGTGTTGCATGTCTTAAGCTTATTTAAATCACTCATCATCTTTGAAGGGGTGGTTTTTATCCCTGCATCGCTGATGAGGACTGATACCCCCCACTCTACCCCTCTTTGAAGGAGCTCCGGTGTACAGCACAGCCTGCTTCTAAAGCCTGCCTTTTTCCATGTTGACAACCAAGGAGAAATCATACGTAACTAATGAGAATGGCCCCCCACACAAGCACCAATTGAGCATTGGTCATCCTTAAAGAACCATTTTCCAAGCAGAAATCTAGTGCCTGGTGTCTGGTACAGCTTTGAGTCAGCAAGCGCTCCTAAGTTAGCAGCATCCTCTGAGCATAAGACTTGCAGACTTGGACAGAATTCAGCCACGGTCATCATTTCAACAATGGAACTAATTTAAGCTTACTTCTGCAGCATTGGGAAAGCCATGGTGAAATAAGAGTGCACAGATTAAGAGAAAAGATAGTATAAATCACTTACAGGTTGCTGGTAAGTTTAGCCACACACTAAGGAATCAGAATAAGTGCTCATACGAGCTTCTAAGTGTTTCCAGACTCTTATCGGGTGGATGTCTTGTGGAGTTGGTTTTCCTGCCCCGGCACGGTGTCGAACAGAGCACAGGCAGCAGGGCAGACAAACATCCCAAGTTGCTGCCTACCACGAGCACAGTTGTGAACATGGAAGAGTTTGAGGACTTGGGCTTGGTGGGCAGTCCCTGTCCAGTGTCCAGCCGCTGTCGTTGTGAGAGCGTCCGTCCCAGAACTCAGAGCATTCTCTTGCTTTTCCACCTGTGCCAGCTGTGAGCAACTGCCTACAGATGAAGCCTGCTATGTGGCCATGACCTCTCATCCTATCTTGTCCCTGTCCTTCCTTGTTTCAGCAGTCATCCTCTTCCAGTAGTAGCGTGTTTGGGTCTGGAAGCACTGCAAGAGGGGGAGGTTTCTTCAGTGGCCTCGGAGGGAAACCCAGCCAGGATGCAGCCAACAAAAACCCATTCAGCTCAGCCAGCGGGGGCTTCGGATCTACAGCCACCCCAAGTAAGTTGAGAAATGTTCTCAGTCCTTCAGTCCCCTACTATCATTGTTGTCCTCCTGGTGTTGTCAGAGCTTCAGTGACAAAAATAAAAAGAGAAGGAAAGGTCCAGAAGGCCCACTTAAAGTATCTGCCCTAAAGCAGTGTGATCTGTTTCTGCTTTGTTTTTTATTTTTGGTTTCTTAATGAGCTGTCCTGTGTAATCATGGAACAACTTCGGAGCTGCAGGGAGAGGCTCTGTGTACCGACCTCCTCCTCCTCTCCCAAGGCCCCAGTCGCGCTGTTTCTTAGTATCGCAGTGACTTGAAGTGAATGCAAGCGGACAGGCATGCAGCAGCAGCAGCAGAATAAACGGGCTGCTCACAAGAGGAGCGTGGGGACAGGCATCTGAGTAACATTCCCTGAATTCGCTTTAAAATTCAGCCGTTGTAGAGCGGTGTCCCCCCCAAATGTGAAGCCCTCACTGTTTCTCATCTCTTACAGTTTAGGTTTATTTTTTTTCTGAAGCTGTATCTTCTAGCGTTTTCTTCTCCAGCTGGTTTTTAAAATTCTTTGTTGATCTGCCTATAGTTGAGAAATGAAAGAAATTTATTTGTTTAAATCTTTTTAAAAACTACCCTGCTGCTAACGGAGGCTGCGATTGGGAGTGGGAGCCTGTCTTCATTTCAGCTGCTCTTCTCTAACACACTGTGCACAGAGCAGCCTCTCCCATCTGTCGTGCTGCCTGAGCTCGTAGGGGACCGCAAGCCCGTGTTCTACAGCCATGACAGATGTTTCCTTAACATGACAACCCATGTTGTTAACAGCAAAACTTTCTAGGCTGATTAACTCTTCTGATTTCATAAATCAAAAACCAGTTATTTTGATGTCACTGTCCACTCCAGTAATATATAAGGAAAGATTACTTGTCCAGAGACACACCTCATGAAGTTATATAATCAGACATTTTTGTTCTTCTGCTTTCAATCTGCCAGGAGGGATTTAGAACCCTAGGACAGAGGGATCTTAGAAATCAAATCTAGTCATTTCCCAAATCTATTTTTGCAAATAAACTCTTATGTAAACTCCCAATAAATAAAACCAGCAAAAGTAGATTAGCCCTGAAGCAAGGGGTGACTAGCCCTGAGATATACCTGAGTAGTTTCTCACAGGACCATGAAGTTCCGTGGCACACACTTTGAAAACATGATTCTTTTATGGCTCGATATTTTCCAATGGAGAAATAAGCCCAAGGTGGGAATGGTTTTTCTTTTTTCCTAAGTCACAGAGCCAGAAAGTGACCAAACTAGAGCCCAGCTAGATCGTATGTGACACATCAGACGCCATATCTGGCATAGGATAGGCACTTGATACCATGTGAATTAGAAATTGGGGTTATCCCCAACGGTATTATCATCAGTGAGGTGGTATTAGCTGATTTGGGGGTGTCTCTCATTATGCCCTTTTGTCCTGGCTGATTCATCTCTAATGCCATGGCTGCTAACTAGAAGAATCACCTCTCAGTGGTTGGCTGGAGCTGGGTGATACCAGCTCAGAAGACCAGCTGTGCCCTTCTCTCCTCAGTTCTGCGTTTAGCCCGAAATCAGCCACAGAGGAGCATTTACACCACAGGAATTGGAGAGCACTGCAAACTAGGACAACTCCTCTCTCCAGCCTGTTGTTAAACAGTTACTGGTACAACATTCTTATTCTTTAATTCTAGTTTAGACACATATCAGTTTCTTTTTTTCTTTTTATTTATTTATTTATTTATTTAAGCTTATTTCTTTATAGAGAAAGAAGGAATGAGAGAGAGACAGGCACCCACAGGGTCTTCAGAGCCACTCTGCTCCCTCAGACCCAGCCATCTAGGATCTCAGGCATGCATATACATGCTTGGCACGTACAGGGAACCTTGGGACAGATCTGGGACTTCCCCATGTGGCTTCAGCATTGCCTTGCACCACCACAGCTGGACTGGACACATCTGTTTTTGCTACCGGTCGCCTGCTGGGCTTCAGCTTCTGAATGCTGGCTACTGATTATAAACCAACAATTTACATCTAGGCCTAAGGGAAGCTTAGGTGAATTTGAAGGGATAAAGAAGGACTTGACATTCTTTTATTTCTCAAAATGAAATGTATCATTTTAAAAGTAAAAGGGACAGGAACTCCTTGGGCCTGGAGGACCAAGTGCAGGATAAGAAGGAGCAGTGGAAGGGGAGGAGCTAGAAGTCACGGGGAAGGGCATTGTCTCCTCACAACACCAGTAATGCTTTCTACAGAACCATCAGGGATGATGCCTCTTTCTCCTGGGTGACTGCAACACGTGATACTTTTGATCACCACTTCTTTTCTGGACTGCATGAATGCTTCTGGTTCCCTCCTGCCTCTCAAGCAGTTCCTTTTCTGCTCCTTTTATCTCCGTTATTGTGGGGCGTGTTTTCTGTGGAGTCATCCTGGTTGTCGTAGCAGTCTCCAAAATCCCTTTCCTGCCTCCAGTCTCCTCGACTGTGGTCTAGAAATCCATCCCACATCAAGTAGCTTAAACCACTTTTATTCTGCCACTATTCCTACTCAAAACCCCGTGGCAACTTCCGTCCTCTACAGGATAAACTCCAAACCAGCTTCGGACTGGAACTCTGGGCCCTGCATGAGCTGACCCTAAAATGCATCCTCCTGATACTGGCTCAGTTCTCAGTGTGTTCCTCCTGCTTTGGCCAGTTCGCCTGCTGCCCTTCACACATCCTCCTCCCTTCTTGGACTTCCTTCAGTGTCGGGCCCATACGCACCCTCCACCCCCACCCTCTGAACCACCTTGCTTTCAGGGATGAGTAGACCTGTTCCTTTGTGCACCTTTGCCCTCTTTGGAAGTCATGCAGCCTTTGAATTCCAGCTGCACAGAACATCCGGCAGGAGGGAACTACTTGCTCAATGCACACAAGCTGGTCACTTCTTATAGTAGTGCTTTAAATGTGGCTGGCTCCATCTGACTGATAAGAAATCAGTTCTAGAAGAACCTCTGTGGACTGCAGAGGTTGCACACTGCTAAGTGACAGCTGCTGAGTGGCATAGCCAGGATCTAGTCCCATGTTCTGACCATTCCTGTCACCTCCCGAGATCCTCCCCAACCTGACAATGTGATTGATGCCTGCTAGGTGTGCCTTTTTGATAACTCCCTCTTCTAACATGGCATGGACACACCCCCTTGTGGGTAGATATCGGAGCACAGACGAACGAACCAGGAGTTCCCTTTGTGACATCTCTACCCTAGGCTGCCTGGCAACATCTCTGCAGCTGCCCTCTTTAGCCCTGAGAAGTCATGAGAACTATGACAGCAATCAGGAAAGATGAGCCGAGGCACCATTGCCCAGAACTGGCGTGTTCTACATGCTGAAACTCGAGCCTTGTGAAGATGTCTTTTTTTTTTTTTTTTTTTTTTTATAAAAAAAAAAGGTTGGGTCTTGTGAAGATGTGGTTTTTTTTTTTTTTTTTTTTATAAAAAAAAGAGGTTTTTGCCTTAGGGTGCATGCACTCTCCCAAGAGAGAAAGAGGGGACAGAGACAGAGGGAAAGTGAGAAATCACCCCCTGAGGAGATGGCCACACCACAGTCCCTTCTCCCAGGATCTTGGACATGGACGCGCTCACACATGGCATGAGTTTCAAGCTACCAGGCCCAGGACTTGAACCAGATCAACTATGTGGGAGTTCAGCAACATAACCGCTATGCCATCTGCTGACCTTTAGAGCGTCTTCTCTTTAACAATGGCAGACTTTTTACCAAAGATAAACTGTTGACCCCTGGGGTTATTTCATATTCAGCATCGCTGGGAATCATTACCCATAATGCCCTATTGTCACCTTAAGTCTTGTTCTGAGGATGCTGTCTAGAGTCATTCTCAGCATGCTCTTTCTGTTCAGAGGCCTAGAAGACTTCTGTCAGGAGATCGAAGCCATTGGGGGATCATCTTTGGGCCTACAAGGCTTCCCATCTAACTCTTCTCTAAGAAAACATCTTGAAAACTATCCCAGACAAGAACATCTTTAGAGTCCTCTTCTGAATGTGCATTAGATTTTTGGTTAGTGACTGCGGGTGATGATGACAACTTTAATGGATTGACTCTAGAGGTCCTTGCAAAACGAAGAGGATTTAATCTGCAGCTGCCTCCTGCCCTGTGTTGTGTTATATACACCATGACTGAGTGTGGACTGAGGCCCTCCTGGAGCCCAAGCAGGAAGCTGTCCTGAGAGTCTGCCTTGGGACACATGGGACTCCCATTCCTCATCTCACAGCATCTTCCCGGCAGCCTGCCATCATCAGAATTGCTGTGGGACTCAGGAAGGTTAAGTCCTTGCCCAAGGTTACACAGCTGTTAGGTGATCTAACTCAGGCCTGACTGCAAGCCTCAGGCTTGCTCCACTGCAATATGCTGTGAAGATCTTAAAGGCAGAGGACTCTTAAAGAGAGAGAAGATACTGAAGAAACTTCTCAGTGCTCTCTGACTTCTCAGAATTTAGGTCTCCTGGCGTGTCCCACCAAATCGTTTTACTTCTTATTTTGTAAGGTTATACCAAGCTTCAGAAGACCCAGCCCCTGATCTTACACTAAAATTTGTTTGCTCTTTGGAATTTTGCATCGCTGGCACTAACAGTCAGAAAATTGCAGCTCTCTGTTCTTGAAATACCAAGTAAAGGATTACCTGAGAAGCTGGTTTTGTCTCCAGCGTCAAATGTGCTGCCACTGATAGCACCAGCTGTAACTTGGGCTACTCCGCAGGTATAGATAAACTGTTCCAGAGGGCATTTTGTGGGTCCCACCGGGGCTCAGTGATCCTGCAGTCAGTCCTAAATGTGATATAAAGGGGTTTCTTGACCACTCCTGCTGTAGATGTCTGAGGACTTGACATCTAGGTCATTGCCAGACTCTCAGATTGTCAGCAGCAGTTGTACAGAGTGGTGGCCGAGGCTCTGTGTTTTGTAGTTGGTGCCTAGAAATCCGAAGTGGCTGTGTCCCTGCAAGGAAGCCACTTATTTCCCGGGTTGTAGCTCGAGCATAGTGACTGCTACTAGCGGTGTAACCCAGTTGATTATCGCACAGGGTCAGGCTTGGTTACAGAGTGAGGTGAGAGACTGGAACACTGACGGCTTAGTGGTGGGCCACCGGCAGAGCTCAACTTTGAGAGTAACTTTCAGTGCCCTCCGCCCCTCTCGCCTTTACCGTGAGCGCTGGTTGGCTTGGGGAGAGACTGGCCTGTCCAGGCATTTATACTTCTCCCTTGACATTCCCAGTGATTACCCAGAACATGCATGTCACAGCTGTCTTTGGGCTTTCATCCCATTTCAGGAAAGCTTCTCCCAGCTTTGCTGTCAGTACAACTCATTTTAGTAAAACTCGCACCTAAACATGGTAGGAGATCGGGCCCAGGCAGTGGTGCAGTGGTGACCTCAGTGGACCCACATGGAGAAGGTTTTGGGTTCCCATCTCAGATCTTAGGACCTTCCAAGCATACCAGCTGCCTGTGTGCTTGTCTTTGATCCAGACTGGCTGAGCCCTGGGTGCATCATGGCATGAAGATCCTACCTGGGTGCCTGTGTCTGTTTCGCTGTCCCATTCTCATGGGAGAAATAAATGAATGAGCTTTAAAAAGAAAATGAAGCCAGCAGGTAGCATGGTGGTTGGCACTGGATCCCACATAGCCAACTGTAGGGTTCAAGTCCCCTACCCAGCAGTTTGGAAAAATCATGTTGGGCACATATACAAAATGCTGAGGGAAGACACTGCAGCGAGGCCACCCTGCGGAGTGCTTTCTCACTTTCCCTCTGTCTCTGGTGAGCGCACGCGCCCTGTAACAAAAATAAATAAATAAATGGGTGGGGGAACGTAAGTTATTCCGCCTCTTGCCCTATCTGGAAAATCCCTGCTATATAGTGTGCTGTTTGTCTTACCTGAGCAGTTGCTTCTGCGTGTATGACCTTGGACAGTTACGTACATCTGTCAGCCTCACATTTCTTGTTATAGACGAAAGCACTTCTCAGCCATCTTGTAGAAGTTTCCGTTTTTCTTTCACTTCTGGAGCGAATGGGAGTGACCCACTAGATAAACATCTGAAAGGTTAAGGGCTTAATTACACCGCTTAGCCAGAGGAAATCAGACTGGGCGTCTCCTTGGCCTCTCTGTCATCCTTACCCTCCCAGCCTCCCTTGGACCTGCCGTAGTAGCACCACTGAGCAGCTCAGGCAACAGCCAGATGCCAAACTTGACTTGCAAAAGCAGAACCCCCTGGGAGCCATTCTGCTTGGTTTGGATTTTTCCCTAACTTTAATTCCCCTGGATCAACAAAATTTGGTGTTGGCCAAATTCATTTGAAACCCAGTGCCATTCTTCAGAAGGAAGCAGGGCGGTCTCTGTGAGGCTGAGCCGTGGGCTCCTGTGGCAAGGCAGGCCTGCAACCTGGCTGGCACCGGATGAGCTTCCCCTGAGCAGCTCCTCAGGGCCTCCTGCTGCCCCTTCATCTTGTGCTGGGGTCCAGCCTTGGCGGGCGTGGGTTGACGCGTCAGAAGCGGCGCAGGTGAACAGAATTAGGCTAAAACATCAATACTTTTTAGTATGTTTTTAGCCGACTACAGTCAGAGCAAAACTCCAGGCTGCAGCCCTGTGGCTATTAAGACATGCGTATTTATTGAGGGATGTTTAGGAAGTAAGGAGGGTGAGGAGTAGTAAAAAATTTACTTTAAGGAACAGGGTATACAAAGCATGGAAACAATAATTATAAGACATGCTGTTTGTCTTGTCAGATTAGGTAAAAACCAATCGCAGTTTTTAGGATGAAGAAGTCCGTTTGTCTGTTGTATCTTCTTCTTAAATCTTAATTACTGGGAAGGGTCTTTTAAAGAGGGGGCTTGCAGGATGTTTAATAGCCTCAGTCCCAGGCCAGTTTGATAACTTTAGTCAAGACCTAAATAGAAATCTTGTCTTGTTAAGTAAAGACACCGTTAATATATAGACTGTCTATACATTACAACAATAGAGGGTGAGTCTATGATCTTATATGGGAAAGAAAAATAATCTTGTAGCTCAAGAGACAACACAAAATGTTTTATTAGCAGTTTTTAATAGTCAACAGCACATAGATAAACTCTTTGTAGTTGAAAGCTACCTGTTGCTTTAAATAAGAGCTCCCAGCTAAGGTGGTTAATCTTTCTCTGGAACCCTCGGGTTTGTTCATCCTGTCTTCCCCAGTCAGGCTTTTCCTTCCTTAAAAAAAAAACATGGGTTTTTGTTTTATTTACTGAGTCTGTCAATTAGTGAGTTCTTTTGTTTTATCTCTGGGTAAATGTGCTGACTTTGCCTGGCACAAGCTAACTTTGGCCCATAGCTTTAACAAGGGGTATGTACATAAAACTAGCCTTAAACTAAATCTACATATGTTACTAACACTAATCTGGTTTATACTAACTTAATCTTAACATATGTTAACTTTGGTTAAAACAGACAGGTGGGGGAGTCTCAAACTTCCCGCCCTCCTCTTAGGGAACCACATTCCTACAAGATCACTAATTGTCTTTATTGTAATGGTTGGGGGTGATATCTTACCCTTGCAGAGTACCGTAATAACAGTAAATCTCACGGCAGAGAAATTAACTACAGGCCCGTAAAACGACGCAAAGAGGGTTAGTAAACCGCTGGCCTTGTCTCGCAGTTTCTTCCCAGCCCAGGCCATGCCTTTAGAAGTGGGAGACAGCCTCTTTACCAGCTTGTGTTGTCTGCATGGCCCCGTCAATCTTGTGCCCGTAGACCAGTGCCAGGAAGTCCTTAGCTCGGCACTGACATGATCAAAATCCCAACTCGAGTGCAGGATGTCCAAGAGGGTATCTGCTGGTCTGCAGCTCGGCCCCCTTGGCCTCTCGTCTGCTTTGTCATTCCTGTCTCCACAGACACCCAGCTCTGTCCTGACAGGTGAGACCTTCACTCACACCTCTGACCTCCCCTTCCCATCCCTTCAGATACCTCCAGCCTGTTCGGGAACAGTGGGGCCAAGACGTTTGGTGGCTTTGGCAGCTCAGCATTTGGAGAGCAGAAGCCTGCTGGAACTTTCAGTGCTGGAGGAGGAAGTGTGGCGTCCCAAGGCTTCGGATTTTCTACCCCCAATAAAACAGGTACTCCCGTACAGATAAGCCCTGATATTTGTATATGTAGTTATTTATGCTAGATATACAGAAAGCAAGAGCTCAAAGGCGGTTACCTCAAGGGAACAGGACTGGACTTTGAGTAAAATTACTTTTTGAAGAATAACATGTACGTGTAAGTATCAGCATGTCATCGACATACAGTTCAGTTCAATTTCACCCTTGGAATACACCCTCATGACCAAGGTATTCCAGCACTACTTTTTATCCCACCACTACTTTTAAGTTTATAAACCGTATGCGTTTTATAATCATATGTTATGCATTTAGAATTTACAAATTTTAAAGAATAGTGTTTGTTTCGGTACAAAAACATGTACTTCATGTTTGTGGACTGCCTCTCTGCCTTGTTTCTGTCTCAGATCTCCAGAGGATTGCACTCCTGCCCTGGTGGTAGAAAGTTATGTGCAAAGATTTTTGTAAAGATGGGCAACTTGGGAAGGCTGCTTGCTGAGAAAGTAGCTCTTTAAAGCAAACTCCCCATGCTAATTGGTTGGGATTCTTGGAAACCACATTCATCCCAGAGGAAGGGCCCTACCTGAGGACTAGTGCATAGGTAGCTCTGACTTAAGAGCAGACTACCTGGAGGCACATGTGTTAGAGCCTCGAGTGCCATGGTCCCCAGATGCTTCGGCACCTCCCCTCTGACCTGGGTACCTTGCCTTTTAGCTGCTAGTTTTATTTTTGTTTTTGCGGAAGTTTTTGCTTCAGGGTGTGTGTGTGCTCACTAGAGAGAGACAGAGACAGTGAAAAGGAAAGTGAGAAGTCACCCCCTGGGGGGTGGAGTAGCCACACCACAATCCCTTCTTCATTCCCCTCCTGGCATTGTGGACATACATGCACGTGTGCTTGGTGTGAGTTTCAAGCCACTGGGTCCGGGACTTGAACCACAGTTGGCCATGTGGGAGTCCAGTGATGTAACCACTATGCCATCTGCTGGTCCCTAGCTTCCAGTTTTTAATACTCTTCCTAGGATTCAGAATATACAAGAAATGGTCATTGCAGTTTTATTTTGGTCATGCACATACACACACACACACACACACACACACACGCACACCAGTGAATGACTTTAAAATGAAAGGCTGTCAGAGCTTTCATTCCTAGTTACAAAGGTAAATATAAACATTTGACTGAAAAATTTTAGTTCCATAATCATCAAGACTTTCCAATTTTTTTTAGGAATCGATAATGATTTCTTTGACTCTTACATTTTTCTTACACGTGGTTCCTTGTCCTGGGATTATGTCCCCCGTATGATCTGAGAATCTGACCCTTTTATTTTTTCAGTCTTAGAGAAAGTACATCTTTCCACCTTTCATCATATATTTTTTCTAAGGTTTTTGCCATAGGGCATGTGTGCTTGCTGCAGAAGTGACAGTGAGAAGTCACCCCTCCACAAGGGGGGGTGGCCACATCGCAGTCCTTCCTCCTCCATTCTCCTCCTGATATTTTCGGCATGCATGCACAAGCACCTGGCCTTATTTTCAAGCCTCTGGGTTCAGGTCCCGAACTGCTGTCGGCCATGTGGGAGTCCAGGACCTTAACTACCATGCCACCAGCTAACCTCCCTTTCAGGAGATTTTTATGCTTCCCCCACCCCCCCACACACACCCCTTGAAACCATCTAGATAGAGGGATCTAATGGATAAAACTACCTTTCAAATGGATGGGGTGAACAAGCTAGCAAACCAAATGCTGAAGTGAGGGTGGGGAGAAGACCCTGCTCTTGTGTTTCAGGAGCTCTGTCTGCTGCAGAGCCTCACTGCTTCTCAGAGAGCTCTGTCTGTGGAAGCAGCACTGTGAAGGCTGTTTCAGAGGAACTAACCTTCCTGCCCAGGCTGTCCAGATGCCAGAGGCCTCAGACTTGCCACGTCCTGCTCTCAGGGGGATTTTAGGTTGACAATTTGGGTGGGCCTTTGAAAAATGCCAAGAATGTCCATCTTCTTTTCAGAAAAATTGCTTCAGAAAATAATACTGCTGGAGATTATCTAAAGAGAGGACAGGAGGTGGGACAGACTGAAACCCTGGCCTACGGGGTCTGCACCACCCTTCCATCGCTGGGGTGACAGACTGAGTGAAGGGCGCAGAGGGCCGCGTAGTGGGAATGGGGGCTTTAGAGTCCCGTGGACCTAGTTCCAGTCCCAGCCCCCATACCTAATTATGGCTAGTTAGACAGGTGAGGTTTTCTTCCTCACCTCTGAAGCGGGGATCCCACACTCACTGGGAGGATTAAAGTGAACTGTCTCAGGGCACTTGGCATCGTAGCCGGCACATGGGCCTCAGAAAGTCAGAGACTTACTGCTGTGGATTATTAGTGAATTTCTGCTGCTTCCAGAAAAAGAAATGATGAAAATATGGCCATCTAATAAAATCAAATGCCTGCTAGCATCCTATAGTGATGCTGTCTGCTACTTTTGCGTGTGTCCAAAAGTAAGACCGGAGTGTCTTCCTGTTTCACTTGGCTGTGTCCCAGCTCTGCTGTCGGGGGCCTTTTCTGTGTGTGTGTGTTCACCGCCTCTCCCCTGTCCAGGTCACTTTCTGTGTCACTGTACATCCTCCACCCCAGCCCCCCACTTTCCACTCACCTTCCACCAAGCAGTCTACACAGCCTCAAGCACAGACAACTACGAAGTCCTGTGTGTGTCTAGGGAGAAAGAGTAACTGGATCTCTGACCAGCCTTAAATAATTCAGCTGCGAGGGTTTTTAGCACTTTTTTTTCCAGTCTGTTATATTTGTAATCCAGCAGTCGCCATTATCATGGCTTGGAATTTCACTCAAGGTTTTCAAGTGCAGGATGCTAACCCAGACACGAGCCTTAGCAAAAAGTGTCTTCTCGGCCGTGCAGCTGTAGTTAGTGGGAAATAAATCGAATCACAGAATCACAAGTTGACTAAGGAACTCTGCTGACAGCGTTTCATACCCAGTGTTTGATCTCTCCTGATCCAGGTAGCAGGAGCTTATAGTGTGATTATGTTTATAGTAAGAAGGCCAGATTCACTCCCTTAGATACACAGTCACTTTCCGAAAGGGGTGAGAGTGCTGTCCCCTCCCTGCCACCTCAGACTGGTCGTGTTGGTTGTCCCCCGTCTAGCCTGCAGCTCGTAGGCCCACTTTCATCTTAAGCATTGTCCTCCCTGTTTCGGTGTCTGCCCTCAGACCACGTACTCCATCCCACCCAGCAGAGTTCACCGAGCACATTTGCTGATGCCGACAACAGCTTGGCCGCATCCTGGAGGTTGGGGAAGCCCCAGGAGCAGCAGCACTAGCTCTCAGAGGAAGTTCACCTTCCCGCTGATTGGCGTTGCCCTCAGTCAAAGGCTGTATGTACATGAGCTGGCCCTCTGTGATCGCCCGCGGCCACGGCGCCGTCTGGGCAACTGGCGTTCATTAGCTTGCAGACGGCGCCTGGCCACGGAGGCACCCTCACAGATGACCTGTGATTGCGTCAGATTCATGCAGCAGCCTTCCTCCGGAGAAGAAACTCGGTGTGCTTTTTATTGAGTAGTTGCAGACTGCAGAGAGAAAGCATTTTTAAAAAATTCTTCTGTACTGAGAGAGGGACTCTGGTGAGAGACGTGCGAGCTGTGAGGCTGTAAATAAATAAAAAGCACCTGGCTGGGTGCCAGCCTGCGCGTCTCCATCTCTGCTGTGACCTAGTTCATGCATTCTCCCTGGGAGGGGCGTTGAGCCTCTGATTTTGTAACTTGGGTGTCCACGAAGCTGGATGCCTTGCCCATGTGCTGATACATAATAGAGTCTGTCATCTTCTGGCAGCTGGTTGGGATTGGAGTTTTAGTGGATGGTTTGCAGTGAGGAGCTCAGAGCAGTTCAGGGGAGTGGGAAGGGATCTGGGTTGCGCCGAGCTGAGCGGGCTTAGTGGTGGTCAGCCTCCCTCAGACTTCACTCCAGCCAGCCCACCTGCCTGGGAGGAATGGGATGGGGAGGGGTCCTTTGGCAAACACAGGATCTGAGGAAGCACTCCTTAGTGGATCCCAAGGCTCCTGTGCTGGGGGGCGGCGGGGGGTGGGCGGGCTGCTTGGTTTGGGGTTTTTTGGTTGTTTTCTGGGTTTGCTCTATCATTACTGGTTGCCCTTTGTTACAGTCCTTTGTGTTTGAATTTCTAACATCCTGTTTCCCCTTTTCCCTTCCTCTTCTGATTTGATTTCTCATGGCTCACTGTCTCCTCCTTTCCTCCTCCCTGTTTCTGTTTGCCTCTGTTTTGCTCAGGTGGCTTCGGTGCTGCTCCAGTGTTTGGCAGCCCTCCTACTTTTGGGGGGTCCCCTGGGTTTGGAGGGGTGCCAGCATTCGGTTCAGCCCCAGCCTTTACAAGCCCTCTGGGCTCGACGGGAGGCAAAGTGTTCGGAGAGGGTACTGCAGCGGCCAGCGCAGGAGGATTCGGGTAAGCCCCCTGGGGGGACTAGGGAGCCCACAGCTCGTGCCAGCCTAACCCTGGGCCCAGCACTCCTGTTCTGAAAAGCGCTCCTGTGCTTTCCAAAGTCTTGACTGGGAGCTGAAGAGCCCTCTCTCAGTCAGCAGACAGGCCGCCCGGAGCTCCCTGTTGCTCTCTGGGTGAGGCTCCTTTCTTTCAAGCCAGGCCCTGTGCACACACAGGTGGGCGTCAGCTCTGTGGCTGGCCCCTCCTGTGCATAGCACTGGTCACCAGTGCTATGTTCTCCTGGCGGGGCTGAAGGAAGGAAAAGACCCATCTTGGCTCCTTTACAGCCTAGAGTACCCTCAGGTCTGACTCCTGATAGGAAGTTCCGACTCATTTTCCCCAGATTCTTCCCTCTGGGGCTTGTCATGCATCAGGCCCATTGTCCTGGAACAGCAGCTCCTGTGTCCCCAACTCCATTCTGGACACCCAGGGCAGGTATTCGGCGCCCTGGTCAGCATCTCCTTCCAGGGCCACCCTCCACCCTGAAGGGTCCTGGTGCTCTCAGCTTCAGAAGCTGCTCCTTGTCACCTTACATGCACCCTCACCTCAAAAATGCCGTGTTAGGGGTTTGCTTAAAAGAGTCCCAGTATTTCAGTCTGGTTGCCAAAACCCCAAGGAGAAAAGCCTTCTCCACCCCACCAGATCCCAGTAAAATGAGTCTCTCGTTCAAAAGAGGCACGAGTGCCTGAGTGACTGAAATGCCTCTCGCCTGATGGGCCTTGGGACGCAAAGCTAAAGACTGGGTCAGGAGGGGCTGTTTGGGGCATCGTCAAGGTACTTGGGGTGAGTCTTTGCAAGATGACGGCATTTTTCTCTTGGAAATAAACTGAAGGATGTTCTGATTCACACTCTCTCATCCACGAAGGAGGCTAGAAAGTCTCAAGGAAGTGAGCACATTGGTGTGTTTCTTATATTTGATACAGAGACTTACAGGATTTTCCCTTCAGGAAACCCCAAGAAGTAAAGTCCAGGAGAGTTAGGGGCCGTGTTAAATTAGTAGTCTTGGCAGAACGCGGTGTCCACCATCCTCTGTCAGGACAGCCCAGCACACAGCCCTGCAGAGTCACAGGGGAGTTCAGGTTGACCACGAATCTTGAGATTTTATTTATTTGTTTGAAACCAGCTGTTCCTTTACTAATAGGAAAGCATTATTTGGCCTTGTGGCGTCTCTCCCACAAGGACCTGACCAGCTGGTTTTCTAGCACAGGGCTAACAAGGACCAGCTTGGATATTAATCTCCATAAGAGCCTGTTACCTCTTTCCAGGCCCTTGACCGCGAGCCTGTGTCTGGCAAGCAGCAAAGGGCACAGTCGTGCCTTGTGGACCAGAGGCCTGAGGCAGGGGCCACTGCTCGGGACAGAGCAGCTTCCTGTGTGTCAATGGCCCTCACCTCATCTTAAGACTGAGTGGGAGAGGAAGAGTCTGAGGACTTGTAGACCCCGTTTTTTTAGGGCAGGCTCGGCCCTAGGCACCCTCTCCTTTCCTGCGCACGCGCTCCATTTCCCTCACCTAGTCACCTCCTACCCAGAGTCTCTCCCCACCCCGGCGAATTCCTCTGGAGATGACTCAGGCTCTTAGCTCTTGTCACAGCCTCGTTTGCTGGACCGGATCTGGAGGGAGGTCCCCTGAGTACAGTTGCCCGAGGAGTGGGGAAGACAGTAGTCCTTCCTGCACTGTTTAGCTAGTGTTTACTGATTCAGGAAACAAACTCAGAATTCAAGTGAAATGACTTGGAAACAAAACAGTAAAGAGAACAGCCATCTTTGTATGTAAAAGACCCTTCGCCTCATTTAGAGTGAACAGACTCATGAAGGGAGGAGGAAGACAGGTGACTGGGGAGGACAGAGGTGCAGGAGCGCTGCTCTAGTGTGGCTTAGCCTGAACCCGGGTGCGGCACAGGCTGTGGGAGCTGGAGCGGGGGAGCCTGGGGCTGCCTGGTGTCCGGGCGGTGTGTGGGAACGCACAACAGGCCTGTCAGATCTCACATCACAGTCCATCGTTGGGTCTTCCGAAGCGTCCAGGTAGACGCTTGCTCTGGGCCGTAGCCCGTTCTTTCTGAGGCTGCTCCTAGAGGCCAAGCCTGTCACCTCAGCTCGTCGACCGGGTGCACGAGTCTCGTGGGGCTAGGCTGGCTGGCGACTGCTGTTACTTGCTAACCACAAGCATTTCTCACCGGAACCCAGGTTTGGCAGCAGCAGCAACACCACATCCTTCGGCACCCTCGCCAGTCAGAACGCACCAACTTTTGGGTCACTGTCACAGCAGACGTCTGGTTTTGGGACCCAGAGCAGCGGATTCTCTGGTTTCGGCTCAGGCACCGGAGGTAGGCAGTCCCTCACAAAGACAGAGTCTCTCCTGCCTTTTCTCAAGCAGATGTTTCTCCCCAAGAAATGGATGTTTTGACCTGACCATTTAGTTTAGTGTTTTCTAGGCTGAAAGTGGTTGAAAACTAAGATGTTCCTCTTAGATCTTAGTCAGTCTTAACTTTGTGCCATTTCATACCAAGTGGAGAAATTTCCAACTTGATTTTCTGATTCAAGCATCCCAGATAATAATGGCCTTACTAGATCTTGGTTTAAAAATCCAAGCCAGCAGACTCAAAAATAAGGTGTAGGGACTTCACAGAATGCCCTGCGTTTATATAACACCCTGCTTCTTCAAATACAAAATGTGTGGAATCAGCAGATGGCGTCTTGGTTATGTCGCTGGACTCCCACATAGTCAACTGCGGTTCAAGTCCTGGACCCGATGGCTTAAAACTCATACCAGGCGTGTGTGCATGCCTGCCCAAGATCCCAAGAGGAGAATGGAGGAGAAGGGATTGTGGCGTGGCCATCCCCCATGGGGGGTGATTTCTTACTTTCGGTATCTGTGTCCGGAGGTGGATGTACCCTGTAGCAAAAATCTCTCTCCAAAAGAAAAAAAGATGCAAAATGTGTGTGTGCTGTTTTGTCCTTCTGACAGATGTTAACAGGCCCAGAATTTAGGTATCTTTGTTACTTACAAGCGGAAAAAAACTATTACAAAGAACTGATATGTCCATTCCCACGTCTAGCAGCAGAGCCAGGCCTAGAACCCACATATCTTACTGCTCTGGCCCTCAAAAAGATGAAGAAACAGGGAACTAGCAGTTAGCGTCATGGCTATGTCGCTGGACTCCCACGTAGTCGACCGCGGTTCGCATCCCGGACCTGGTGGCTTAAAACTCACGCCAGGCGCGTGTGCGTGCGTGCCCAAGATCCCGAGAGGAGAATGGAGGAGAAGGGATTGCGGCGTGACCATCCCCCTGGGGGGTGATTTCTCGCTTTCTGTCTCTCTGTCTCTCTCTGTCTGTCTGGTGAACGCACGCGCCCTATAGCGAAAAAAAACCTCTCCAAAAAAAAAGAAAAAAAAAAAATGAAGAAACAGGGCCAGCAGGTGGCATGGAGGATAAGGCAATGTTCTCCCACATGGCAGACCATGGTTCACGTCCCAAACCTGGAGGAGAAGGTTCAGTGTGTGCAGTGTGGCAATCTCCCAGGGGGTGATTTCCCTCACTGTCTCTCTCTGACAAGTGTACATGCCCTATGTGGGGGGGGGGGGGTTGGGGGGGTGGTAAATAAGCACGAGGGTAGAAAAATAGGGGAAAAACAAAGTTTCCTAAAGGATTTGTGTGATGCAGTGCCGCTAAATGGGAAGGTGGGGAGGAGGGAAGACCTCCAAGATACCAAGACAATGACTCTAAGACTAAAGGGCAGGGTCTGCAGGTAGCATGGTGATTAAGGCTCTGGACTCCCACATGGCCACCTGTGGTTCAAGTCCTGAACCTGGCAGCTTGCTTTCTCACTTTACCTCTCCCTTTTCCTCTGTCTCCCTGGTGAGCGTACATGCCTTGTCACATAGTGATAGTGATAAATAAAATTAAATTAGTCTTTAAGAAAAAAAGAGTAGAGGACTTCCCTTGGTGGAGCTGAGCAGCTCTGGAGGATGAACCCAGCATAGGAGGTCTGCTGCAGTACCTTCCTGCTATCCCACAGATGGTAGGCAAGGAGGGCTTTCAGTAGGAGGCGGGAGAGCAAGGACGTGGCTTTGAGGCCGCCCTTGTCTTCATGCTACCTGTGCATTAACACTTCCCTTCCCGTCTGTTTTTCAGGCTTCAGCTTTGGATCATCTAACTCGTAAGTGTCCTCCAGCTCTGAGTCTGGCCCCAACCAAAAGCATGAAGGAAGGCTGGGAGAGTGTGTGGGCCGTGGACACCACGGGTGCTGATTCTGCTGGAGCCGTGCATTTGTCCCCACTGTCCCTTCCCATGTCCTGACAGTGTGGTTCAGGACCAGGCTTTGGGTTTTGTGGGTTTGTTCATCCCTGCAGTAATATGACAGGAGGTGCCAGGCCTCTCTTCCCCAAGGGCCGTGGGTAAGGGGAGGACTGTGCCTTCTCGAAGTGGAGACCTGGAGGGCAAGTCTTCCAGGTGCTTGTCCTTATTTCCCCGCTAGTGTCTCAGCATCGTCCTGAGCTCTGAGCCCTAGGCCACTGCCAGGTCACCTGTGTTGATCTTACCCTGTGTAGAATCGCTCCATGTTAAAATCCCGTGTCCCAGGCCAGCTGGTGGCATAGTGGTTAAGGGGGCTGGATCCCACATGGCCAGCAGTGCAGGTTCAGTCCCAGACCCGGCAGCTTGAGAAGCACTGGTCATGTGTGCACCCACGCCCAGGATTCCACACGGAGGGAGAGAGAAGGGTTAGGCATGACCATTCCCCATGGGATGCTTTCTCACTGGCCGTCTCCCTTTTTCTGCCCCTTTCCTCTTAGTACATGTGCCTTCTGTCAAAACCAGAAAAATAGGGACCAGCAGTTGGCATAATGGCTATGTCGCTGGACTCCCATGTAGTCGACCGCAGTTTGAGTCCCGGACCCAGTGGCTTAAACTCACGCCGGGTGCATTTGCGTGTGTGCCCAAGATCCCGAGAGGAGAAAGGAGGAGAAGGGATTGCAGCGTGGCCATCCCCCCGGGGGGTGATTTCTCGTTTTCTGTCTTTATCTCTGTCTCTCTGGCGAGCGCATGTGCCCTATGGCAAAAACCTCTCCCAAAAAAACTCGGGGGGGGAGGGAGGCACGCAACGAT